CCTCTCTCTCTCCCTGTACCTTTCTGCAGGTAGCCCTGGCTCTGGAGCTCTATGTTTCTGATGAGCAGTCACCGGCCACATCAACCTGACCAGTGTTTGATTGTTTGTTGCTTTTCTTCTTTTGTCTCTCCTCTATCCACTCACCCCAAACAGTCGAGGCAGAAGGCCGCCCACCAAGAGCCGGGGTCTGTCGGAGATTTCTTCTGTTAAAGGGAGTTTTTCCTCCCCACTGTCACCAAGTGCTTGCTCAAGGGGGATTTGTTGGGTTTTCCCTCTGTAATAATATTGATAACAGTAAGGTCTAGACCTTCCTTTGTAAAGTGTCCTGAGATGACTTTTGTTGTGATTTGGCGCTATACAAATAAAATTGATTTGACCTAAGCAGGTGCTTTAATGTCAACACCAAAGGAATCAGCTGCTTAAAAACTGACCTCACTTTTATTTTAGCAAATCTTCTTGAAGATATTTCTTCATTCAACTGTTGCTGTATTTGCATATTTGTGCTAGGACACCGCGATGCTGCCCGCTCCCCCCGCCCACCACAAAGAGAGAAGCGACCACAGTCACACACCAGCGAGCTGCTGTCCAACTGACAAGCTCCTATACAAAATCACAACCTGTCAAAACTGAGCTGCTGTAAAATGTACCTGTCGTGAACATTGTTTTAGTGCACAAGTGTTCCTAATATTCTGACCCTCCTCATATACTTAAAGTCAAGTTTACCCTTCTAGATGGAAAACGTCACTAAGTGCTTCACACTGAATGTAACTGGAACTGACTGAGGATCAGTGACACCGGCAGCCCAGTGCAATAAATCACTGAACGCGTTCGCAGCGTCACCAGAAAGAGCACAGACATCCTGAGTTTGATGCCGCTGTTCCAGCAGCGGTAGGTTGTACAGGTTTACAGCCACAAATTCCATGTTTTAATGCAGAATTCTGACCTGGTATAGGTTTTTAAAAACTGAAAAACAAGATAATTTAAAAACCTGTAATTAAACCTTTAGAGAAACATGGTTTTCACAGGACAGGAAGAGGATGAGAGTGTCTGCACTGACTGCAGCTGTCAGACGAACGTAGCGGAGGAACAACTAGTGTTCGGCTCAGAGGCGTAGTGCTGAGTTAGACATGAAGGAACCGCTCGGGTCCAGCTCTCTGGTAAACATACTGTGTTGCACTGCACACGAGGAGGATGACTGGTCCTGAACACTGAACAGACACGAGACGAACACAGCTGAATGAACTCACCTTCACTTCGAACTCAAAGTGCTCGTCCTTCCCCTGCCCACGCAGAACGTAACGAGGGATGCTAATTCTGACGGGCTCCTGGAGGCGGTCGGAGCTCGTCGCCACAAGACGAGACATCCAGCGCTGTAGAGGACATCCAGGTCCACAGGAGAGACAGAGAAGACACAGAGGTGGAGAGCACAGGGTTGACTCAGGACACTACAACAACTGCTGTCTTTAACAGAACCCGAGAAGGACTTACACACAGAGCAGGAATCAGACAAACATCCAACTTTATTTATCTGCTTCCACGATTAAAATGATTTCACTGTGTGAGGGTACAACATCACACCTTCAGCTGTGTACTCATCATAATTAACTTCACATCAAGACAAAGTTTCCTCAGGGTGCAGCTGCAACAGTCACGTCCTTCCCCTCTGGTGAAATAACCACGTAAGAACAAGTCAAACAAGAATCATCAACAGGAATAAAACAGTGAACAAAAAGACACAAACTGTTTATCGTCTTTCAGCCTTTTCATTCATTCTGGCGACACATTCAGTCAAATCACAACTGGCTGAAAAGTAAAAAGATATTTTAAAATGTTTTTAAAACCGCCTCACACATGTCCGTTCTACTGTGGCTCCATAACAATTCAACCTTCCAGATGGCATCTCCGACTCTAGGTCTGTGAAGGTCACTTCAGACACAGGTCGGACACATCCAGCTCCGGTGGAACTGCCTCATGTGCACAGATGATTAATCATGATCACAGCCTCGGAGATGCAGCCAAACAACAGCTTCCAGGAGTCACAGGTGGAGCGCATGTCAGCCGGGCCCCGCCTGAGTTCCACCTTCTCCCCGGCCTGTGGTCTGTGAGTCGTAAACATGATATCTACCGCCAGGCAGCTGTCACTCTGTCTCACTAGCAGGCACCCAATGTCTGAACGCCTGCGGAGTTCCAGGACCTGAAACTGGGGCTGGAGGGGGATCAGGCTGGAGCCTCGCGGCGCCGGGTGGAAGGCGCCATCTTCCCGGAGAAGAACTACATGAGTGTCTGTCAGGAGGAACTGGACAATGGTGTCCTGGTGCACATGGGTGGAGCTGCTGACCTTGACACTGGTGTAGAGCAGAGGACGAATGTCACCCAGAGAGGGTTTGCCAGGACCATCCATGTTCCCATGGACAATGTAGAGCAGGTCTGCAAGGACCCGCTTGAATCCACAGGTGACGTGAAGGCCACTGTCCAGGATAATGTCGGGAACAGTTGTCGTCCAGTCCAGAGAGAGGGCCATGAGGTCATCACAGAGTAGTGGCTGACCTTCAGTCACTTCAGAGAACTTCCCAGGAGCAGCAGCCTTCAGTACAGCCCTGCAGAACACCTGGGTGAGCTCCTTGCTGTGGGTGAACACGGCCAGGACGGCGTCTTCGGTCAGGCCAATTAAGCGAACGTGCTGCCCTCCCAAACTAATCTGGACCTTCTTCAAGTCCAGGAGGTTGAAATGATGAAAAACACCCAAGGCGTATTCAGGATCAGTGCCCGCCGAGACTACTGTGATGTCCTGCGCTGACAAAAGCAGGCACCCGGGTTTTGGGATGGGCTGCTTACGGTTAGCCGCTTTGAGCCAGAAGATACTCAGAACTTTGCCAACTTGCTTGTGGGGAGCCAGAGATTCCAACTTCTCAAGCATCATCTGGGATGAAAGCGCCTGCAGCCGAGACAAGGCAGGAGGCAGCTCGACCAGCCTCTGATCAAACACCTCAGGACTTGTGTTTCCGTGAAAGGACACAGAGCCCTTGGGCCACCCCAAGATGCCCGGGACCACAGACACGCCACAGCTCTGAGGAAGCCTGAGGGTGCGAGCCGTCGACAGATCAACCACACTGGCTGTGTCTGGTACAGTGATGTTGGGTTGTGCCTCTGTTTTAAGCCGCATTCGATGAATCAGTGGAAACTCTCTGGACACCATGTTCGCGTACTGAGAGACAACAATCTTTATTTCACCTACTCGAACATTTCGGACGATGTCCCGTGTGACCTGCAGCCTTCTACCAGCGTCTCTGTAGGCTTCAGACAGCTTTCCAGCAAAATACCCCAGGCTGTAGCTCCCGTTGGCAGCTGCTCCATCAGTGCCCGACTCTTGTTTTGTTTGACAACCGTCATACTCCTCCAACCTCTGTTTGGAATCGTTGTGACCACTGACCGAGTTCTCAGACTTTGGTGACTGATCATGAGAAACTCCCGTATCTTCTAGGTCACATGTTTGGTGTTTGACTTTTCCCCTGAGGTAAGAATTAGAGCATCCATTTACCGTCGACTCCTTCAATTTACCTTCGACCTTTTTATCATCAGAAACACAGCGGCCAGAATAGTTTCTTCTATCAGCAACGTCGTCATCGAATCTCTTGGTTTTTGGCGAGGTCACACATAACCTGTCCGGTCCACCGTCACAGTGGTTAAGTTCACCAACGGCTCGGCCCACTGTCCCACGAGGGGTATTCACTCTTCCCTGCCACCATCTGGTTCTGTCACCATCTTTGTGGGGCACGACTTCAGCTGCGGATTCTAGCGTCTCCCCTCTGAGCAGCTTGACACATCTGTTCTCTGGTTCCTCTGGCATGTTCTTCTGGACGTTAGGAGGAGACTTTGCCTCGAGCTCTGGGCCAGGCAGGAAACTAGACGACAAGCTGCAGGCGCTCTGTGTGCACAAGGGGGGGGGAGTCCATGACTACAAACAATGTGAAGGCTCCCTGTACTACACTGAAGTCCATAATCCACCCAATGAGAATCAGAGCATCTCCGTCACCAGGTGAGGTGTAAGTGATTCAAAATTAACAGTGTGAGGTTTGACATGCAAATTAGGATGAGTGCACAAAAAAAAAAAATGTCACTTCTCTTTAAACATCCATTCACATGTGGGCAAAGCAGCATTTGCACATGACTTATGGTAACGGCCTCAGTGGTGGCGAGACAGAAGGCATCTGCCTACACGTTTCACCCACACTGACTGAAATAAAGGGCCAAGTTAAATAGTTGTTGATCATTTCAAAGGCTGCAATGAAACAATGGAACCCTCATGTAACAGAGCTGCCAGATTCTAAAGACCAACACAGAAGTACCTTTGTCCCAAACTGCCAAAGTAAAATCAAACCACACAGTGACAGGACCTGAAACAAAGTGCCTCTGTCTGCGTTTGGCAACCCTCAAGATTTAAAATGGAAGCCCATTCACCATTTTCTTTAAAATTACTATTTTGCTTTTCTAAAGTTATACAGACTTTGATGCGATTGCTACATGCAGTGAACAGCAGCAATCACATTTTAACACAGTGCAAAGACTCAGAACCACAGCTGGTGTGAAAACATGGCAGGATTACAGATTTTTAACGATTATTCATTTGTAACGATCCCGTAACCAGATGCTGGTCTTACCTGGTATTTAAGTCTCCTTGGATTATTGACTTGCAGCTTTTCGTCATCCTGAAAACAACATCACGTGTGAGCTCAGCAGTTTTAAATATTAACTTGATATTCTACAACATAACAAGCAGCATTTTCAAATAAAAGCTGAAAATTCAACCTCACGATACAGAAAAAGGCACCAAAAGCAGGATAATGAACAACAACAACAATAATAATAGACAGCACTGACTGGCAGAGGTGTAACTGAGTCTACAACCGGGTGAGAGATTCACAGAGCAGGTGGATCCAGGTCTTACCTCATCTGTTAATCTAACCGAGCTACAGTCGCCAACCTCCTCCTCCTGCAGGAAGAAAGAGCCCCACATCAGTCCTACACAGAGGACAACGTGACACCGGGCACTCGACTTCTAGCAGCAAACCTGAGCTCTGGAGGGAACTAGAGATGACGATCAGCTACCTCCAGACCAGGCTGGCACTGTTAAAGCCAGAAACCTCTCCACTGTCATCACTGTGGCGTATTCAGTAAATATAATCTGCTGAATTTCGAAATTAATGTTTCTGTTGATCGGCCATTGATCAGTTATTGTTCTGGAGCAGAAACCTCTCACCTGATGGACTTTCAGACCAGTCTAGTCTTCAGAGTTTTTTCTTTTTGTGTGATCAACAGTCACAAATCCAAACCTGTTTAATGTAATAAAAGACCACCAGTATTCCCACACTGGAGAGGCTGGAACCAGAAAACGACGTGAAAGAGTCAGAACAGCGGGTGATTTGATTTTCTGCCACAGAACTTGAGATGGACAGAGGGTGAAGGTCTGTGTGCACAGCTGGCTCAGATGCTGAATTGTAAACGGTAAATAATAAATCCCCACAGGTGAAATAAAGGGACAGGTGCCACTTACCCTGAGCGAGTCACAGGACACAGACAGGGCCACGCTGCTGCTGCTGCTGCCACCGTTCATCAGGTTCATCTTTCGCAACCGTCGCTGCACTTCCTCTTCAATGTACGCGTTTATCCTGCTACAGAGACAAAGACCCACCCGGCAGTGTGGAAGTTCATATTTGTGTAGAAAACCTCCAGCGGAGTGACAACCAGCAGCACTGAGGTGTACCTGTCGTCAGATAGCGGCAGCAGCGCGTTCACGCTCTGGATGTGGCTGACGGGGGAGCTGGTGAGACTCGTCTTCTCATCGGTACCGATGGAGTGAGTCCTGTTTTCCTCCCCTTCACTGATCCTCTGCTTCAGCTTCTGGATCTCCTGCTCCACTCTGCAGAGCAAAACACAACAACACCAGACGTCTTGTTGATTTCCTGAGTTTCTAGTGAATGTATTTATTTAACCTTTGTTTGATGTTTCTGGTTTTATCTGCATGTTATTTAAGAAAATTCTATTTAGTTACGTTGAAAAAGACAATGAAGGTCAATCTCCACAAGCATTTTTCAGAGATGGCCTCTAATAACTTAACTGTCTGGACATTTGGCAGGTGAACAAGGCTTTTACCCTTTCACTTATGCAGACTACAGTTAAATTAAAGGATGCAGCTGGTGATTTTCGGTTTTAGTTTCCACAAGTCAACATCAAAAACAGCTCCAACACATTGCTCTGTGCAGCGTGAGGAGCTGACGGAGCAGTGTAGAGCAGAGACTCAGCCCGTGGAGATGTGTGTTGGAAACAGATGGAGGAAACCTGCCCCCCACTGGGGGGGGCTAACAGCTGGTGGACACCAGTGTAGGTCTACGGCACAGCGCAATAAGCTGGACCAGGGTCTGGACTGGCACATTATGGTGAGGACACCATGATCGCTGGTGGTTTGTGGGAAATAAACCTACTAAACCACCAGCTGCACACTTGACCTGTTACAATCGGTTCAGTTTTATCCCAGAGCTCTGACCTCTGCTGGTCCAGGTCAGCCCCCGCCCTCTGGATCGAGCTCTTGTGTCTCTGCTCCTCGGTGTCTGGCTCCAGCGAGATGCTGTGTCTTATGGCCAAGTGCCTCTTCTCCAGCCGGGCCACTGCTTGCTCCATTGCCTCCCTCTGCTGCTTCTCCTTCGACTCCAGGATCTCCTTCTCCTTCCTCCTCACCTTCTCCTCCTGCCGGGCCACGTTGGCTGTGAACTCGTAGGTCTCCTGGAGCTGCTGCAGCTGCCGAGCACGGTGCCAGTGCAAGTTCAGTTTCTCCTCTTTGTCCTCCAGCTCCTTCTCAACCTGGTACAGCGTGTTGTCCAGTCCTGGTGGACCGTCGCAGCTCCCGTTGCTGCCTCCGCCGCCGCGCTCCAGCACCTCCACAGCCCTCTGCTTCTCCTCAGCCAGTGAAGGGAGAAGGCAGTCAACCAGACTGGCTAGTTGTTGCTCCTTAAGCTGGAGTCTATGCTCCGCTTGTTTGACCAGCTGCTCCTCCTGGCAGACAGCTGTAACGCCCTGCAGCCCCGTCTCCTGAGTCTCTTTCTGCTGCCGTTGTTGTTCTCGGAGGCTATTGGCAAGGAGCAGCAGTGTGTTACGCTCTGCAGCCACCTCCTTCTCCAAGCGCTCCCTCTGCTGCCAGAGCCCGTCCTCCAGCTGGCCCAGCTCCCTCACCTGAGCTGCCCTGAAGTCCATGTATCGGACCTGGGCGGACCTCGCCTCCTTGCTGGCGTCCTCCACTCCTGGCCGCTCTCCAGCCTCTTTGGCCCGCAGGAGCGCTTCTCTGATTTCAGCCAGTGCACGGTGCTCCTCATCCAGGCGGCGGATGTCCTGGTGAGTAGGGTGGGGGCTGCCTCTTGCTTCTCCCTCAGCTGCTCCTCCAGCCTCCCCACCAGACTCAGCTGCTCCCACTCCTGCTCCTCCAGCCGCCGGCGCTCAGTCTCAAGACGGACCTTCTGCTCATCACGTTCCCTTTTCAGCCTCTCCAGCTCGCGACAAATCTCAGTCTGTTCTATGGCCTCCTGCTGCCGCCGCTCCTCCTCCTCCTCCTCCTGCTGCTCCGCTCCATCCTCTTGCTGCCGTCTCCACCGGTGTTGCTGCTGGAGGTCCACCCCCTGGATCTCTGAGCGTCTTTCCTCCTCAAAACGCTCCTTCTCTGCCAGGAAGTCCCGCAGACGGCTCTCGATGTCCTGGCTGCGGCGGCGGAGGCTCTCCTCCTGACGGAGGATGCGCTGCTGCACCTCCTCGGACTCCTTCCGCTGACTCTCCACCTCCTGCTGGAGACGCTCCAGCTCCGCCTTCTCACTCTGCTGCTTCGCCTCCATCTCCTTGATCAGCCTCCTACAGCAACACCACACACAAAGAAAGTTCAGCCTGTTAATATGGAATATCTACCAGCACCAACAGCGAGGAAGAGTTTAATACATGCACTTCAAAATCTGACAGGCCCTTCACCCTGAGTTTAGGCTGTCAGGGAGCGACTTCCCAGTGCATGTACACTGATCCCACGAAGGTCCATAAACCGGTTAGTCTTAAAGCCATGAGGCTGGAAAAGTTTCAGTTTAGGCAGAAAGCTAAATATGACCGGCTGAGGTGTGAACTGGCAGGGCACAGAATAGGCTCTGCCTGAGAGGACAACCTCTGGGCACGGTCTAAAGTGTCTCGGAACCATTTTTAGTTATTTAACTATCGTTTCAAATCAGCGCCGGTGGTAACACAGTCATTCTTCTCTTTTGATGAGGTTTGCTAGTACCGGGTGAAGTAAGCTCCACAAAACAAGGAATACAGGAGCTTGAATAATTGGTTTACTCATGTGGTCAACAAGAGCACAAAGTCCTGGAGGAGCAGAGCTGTTCTTTATCTTTGTCAGATGGAGACAGAAAAGTAATGCCAAGTCAGTTTTATGAAGAAAGAAACACCTTTCCTCCGATGAAACCCCGCCTATATTCTTCTACCCATAAAGCCCTTCGGTTGGGGATTGTTCTCTGTGGTTTGAATATTCTTCCCAAAGTTCTGTCAGACGATGGTTCAGTGTTGTTTGAGTTTAACTATATGAAATTCAGAGGTCTGAAACAGATCTGGAGAAAACACCGGCTCTTGTACCTTTTCAGCTCCAGCTTCTCCAGCTCTTCTCGCTGCTGTCTCTCAAACTCCAGCCTGGGGAAACAAACACACCATCAGCTTCCTTCCTTCTCATCAGAGGAATAACACACAGCCACATCAGTGTTGACACAGACGATAAGGTAAGTAAAAGCAGCAGTCAACATTTAAAATTTAAAGCCTTAAATGGAATGCAGGGTGAAAAAGCAACAACAGTTTCTCTTAGACGGCGAATGGAGACAGAAGCAGCAGGGTGACATGCTGAATACTGCAGACAGACAATGAGTGACCAGGCTGAAAGACTGGACGAGTCAACACACATCTGTGTCAAAAACAGGACAGTTAGACAGGAAGTGGATGGCTGAGTCTACCTGAGGAAGACGGGGGCCTTCTCAGTGAAGAGACTGTCAACAGGACAGGGTGGACATAGTTAATCACAGCGGCTGCGGTCGCGCATCGAGCACAGCCGACAGGAAGCCGAGGGTCTAACTACACACACCGCTGCTCACAGACGGCGTTTAACCAAAGGAAAAGAAACTGATGTGTAAACATACCTCTGAAACCTGTTGACTCAGGCCACAGGGGACCAGATGTCACCAAAAACAAGACACTCCGTTCAAAAAAAGGCTCAAATAAGTGAAGTAACAACCAGTAGGGTTATTGTATTATTCTGGTTTTTACCAACAAATGACGTGGAGACTCTGACCTACACCGTCTTTCTGCTGTCCCTACTCTGTCTGTGGCTCTCGGCTTTGAGCACATTGGTTCCTACTGAAGACGTACATCTTTAAAACCAGTCTCGCCTCCAGCGGGACAAGGGATGAAGCAGTGTCTGGCAGCTGCTCTGTGGATCAGGACTGAAATGCTGCTTGCTATGGATTTAAGACTGTATAAAGAACAAGAGGTTCCTAATGAAAGCTTAAAAACAGAATAAGAACTGCACATGGCCGGTAGCCAATGGGCAGAAAGGCAGCCCGTGTTTGAGATGACGAGCCGCCAGCCTTAGTATCTGACAGTGTGATGAAACACGTGGCCTCATGACCAAATTTTGCAAATTCAGCTTTTCTCATCTGATCTGCCAAGATTTATCTGCATTTAACTTGATTAAAGTGGGAAACTGTGTGTGTGTGTGTGTTCTATTCTGATGAGTCATCGCTGACTATGTGTAGGTGCAGATGAACCGATGCTGCGGAACCTCGGCTCGAACCAACACAGTCTACAGGGTCTGATGCAGGTCATCGCTGACTATGTGAAGGTGCAGATGAACCGATGCTGCAGAACCTCGGCTTGGACCAACACAGTCTACAGGGTCTGATGCAGAAGGGAGATGCACTGCGGGGTCTGAGCTGGTTCCCACATGCAGCTGCTGGTACTGGGCCACTCACCCCGGGTTGTAGAGCATCACAGTGGAGAGGTTCTCACAGGACTTGGACAGGTCCGTCATGGACAGGCTGAATGTGGAGAGGAGGCCACTCTGGGGGGGGAAGCCAACGTCACTTCATGTTTTAAATCAGATGCTGACAGTTAAAGCTTCTCTCTCACTCCATGCAGATCAACACAAGTTTCTCCATCTTCGCCTCTTACTTCTCTGATACATGCCCTCCAGCCTGTCCAACCTGAGACCAGGCAGAGTCTCACCTTTCGTTTCTCTCTCAGCTTGGCCGCCTCCTTTGGATGGTTGAACCGAAACATGTTTGTCCTGCCGAGCAGAATAACGGCACCTGGACGACAGCACAACAGAATCTTTTTTACTTCTGCAGAAGAAACATGGCTCGTCTACAGTGCTGCTTACAGACCGAGGCATTACGACAAATGATGAGCCGTCACAGTTTCATCACCTTGGTTGAGCTGCGACGGCTCGGTCACCTGAACGCCGTTGATCGAACACTGAGCCCCGCCGAGCGGCACCAGAGTCACAGTCCCATTCTGGTTCTCAAACATGCAGTGTTCGCTCTCGAGGCCCAGGCCGTGCAGGACTGCAGCAGGAACAGTAACACAGGAGATCCAGTCATTTATCGAGCTGCTGTTTAAACATAGAACATTTATTTTTTTATCTCTGATGAAAGTGCATTTATAAAGTAGCTAATACAGAAGCTAAAGACGGTTCTAGGAAAAAAAGGTACTTTAGTATCTGTGGCAACTGTCGGATAAATGCATTTACACCAAAGAACAAAACAACTGGACACAGACACGGGAAAGAACAACATGAGCACAAAGTGACACGTCATCAGATCTCAAGGCTGAGCACCTCTGACCTGACCCCCAACTACTCATACGGAGGATGTGACGCTGCCCAGGCCTCCTCACCACTCAGGACGGTTTACCTGTGAGCTCACTAACCATATCACTGTCTTAATGTCTGTCCTTATAAATACAGACAGTGAGAAACCCAATGCCATAAGACAAAAGGCTAGAGTACTGTCCATCGCTGAAAGACAGAGAAACCAGTGTCTAACTGTAAGCATGAAGGTGGGCATGCATTTACTTCTGCTTGGTTTAATTCCTGTGACACCAGGTACCGTACAGAAAATGGCTGATTGACTCACCGATGTCTTGCACTGTGGATGCGTCCTCTCGGCCCACGTACGTCCGTCCCTCCTGGGGTAGAAAGGAAACAGTCATTCACAAACTGGACAACGCTTGTGAGAACTGGATGCACGTCTCTGCTTTATGTGGAAATGACTCAGCAGATTTACTCCTTAATTATCAACTTTCCCTTATTTAAATAATTTTTTAAAAACCCTGACGAACACCAGAAAACTAAATCGTCACTGTTTTGACTCCAGGTAAAAGCAGAGCTGACACTGGTGTCCACCTGTTAAACACCAGTTAAAGTGACTTAATGGATTTCTGAGACTCGCTGGCTCTGTCCAGCAGCTGAGGCGCTGCAGGTGATGTCTGACCTTCAGGTGGTACAGGATGATGCCCGTGCTGAGCAGGTCGTCGTCGATGCCGATGAGGTGAGGCAGCTCTGAGTCCAACACCACACCGATCCCCTCTTTCCTCAGTGCCAGAGTCTCCTCCTACACACACATGAACACAAACATGGCTACACTTTTAAACTTTACTTATAGCCTCATAAAAACAGGGAAACTCGTGCACAAAGAAAAACAATGAGCAGGATGTAAAGCTCCATTTGTGCTGAAAAACATAAGACACCAGGGAAACTACCAAGTCACAACACTGACACACAGACAATCGAGGACTCATGAGCAGCTCTGGGGTAGAAAACTTTGTTTTTACTTTTTAAAAGTGAGGCAGCTGCTGTGACATGACCGTCCTGAGGCGAGTCTGTGCAAGCACCGTTACACTGCAGCCTTGGACCCACACACCACCTCTGACAGACGGGTGTCGGCTCTGGCAGCAACATGACACACACTCCAGTGAGTAATGGCAGTAGCAGCATGCTAATGCTAACCGAGGCCACTGACACCAGCAGCTCCGCAGGTGGAGGGAGGTGACCTGTGTGCGTCCACAGACATCAGCTGACAGCTCAGGTTCACCTCACAATGCAGACGCCTCCTCACACAGTGCGTGTTAGCATCACAAGCTAATGTTAAAAGTTAATGTTAATGTTAAAGCTGCCACGTAGTCACAACATGGAAATCCAGATGTGTCCTCAGAAGCTACTGGACACTGGGGATGAGCCAGATGTGCTGCCCCGGTGCTCCTGTTAGAGCCAAGTGTGACCAGGCAGAGCTTCACTCCTGACAAACGGAGTCAGTGCAGGACCCGGTCGGGTCACTGGTCACACACTGCAGCATGGAAACAGACTGTACCCTAACCCTGACACCTAACCCCGTGTCTTTGTTCTCTGGGAAACAATCGACCCAACACTGTGACACACTTCCAGAGCTCAGCCTGTTCCTCTGTCAGCGACTCCAACTGTAAACACAGTCGGACACAGAGCCAGTATTCAGTGAACAAACCTTTGCTCTTACCTTAAGTATGTTCTGTGTCTCGTTCCATTTGTTGGTCCATTCTTTAGTCAGTTCCAGGACCTGCAGAGACAAACGAAGACATCAGCAGAACTTGAGGGATCAGAGGATCAGAACTCCAGCAGAGCAGACATCCAGTGTCTGTCTTGCTTGGTGCCGCAGCCTAAAAACCTTCTGACTGCAGGATCACCACACGACCACCAAGCTTGCTGCATTCTACTGACTTCTGCTTTAATGAAGAAAGCTAAATGTCCAGGAGCAGTTGTTCTAAGCTTTGTCAGAGTCATGGGGAGAAGGACTGGACTTCATATTCTGTTTTAGTGTAAAACCTTGACATGAACCTTCACATTGAGTGTAACTTAGCTTTCCATGTGAGAACAACACATGACAGACTCACTCTGGCTTCATTCTGGTGCAGTTTCTCCTCCATGCTCAGAGCAGTGGGCGAATCCAGGAGAGCGATCTGACAAACACACACAAACATGGGTCAGAAACACTTTGAGTGGGTCGTTGCCTTCTGTGCCTCAACTTCACAGTGCTTACATATTACAGACAGAACACCAAACATAAACACCATATTTTCAGACTATGGGTCATGCATGTTTTTGTCATCTGGCTGGTTCTGTGACTTGTGCTCCAGTGCCCCAGTACAGCCACCAGATGGCACCGCGTCCGCCGAGAGTCAACTAATTCAAATGATTGGCGTCTACACTAATCTAAATAACAGTAGGCAGCTGCCTCAGCAGGGAGGTGAGGTTTGTTAAAGCTTTTTTCCCTTTCAACAAAATAGTTTTTACACAAAGTACAATCATTAAAAATGAAAAAAAAGACCAAACTTAAAACTGTGCCAGGTTTTTATGAGCTTTGTTCATTTCATCGTCTCCTTCTAGCGTCACTCAGGTTAAATGCAGGTCCTGTCACAGCAGCAGAGCGAGGCCTCCCTCACGTCTTTTACCTGGTTGCCCTGAACCAGCAGAGCCTTCAGTCGGGCGATCTCAGCCCGCAGTTCTCTGATCAGCCTGACGTTGGCATCCTCGTTAATGGTGGGCTTGTTGATGATGTTCTTGGCTCTGTTGGCATATCGCAGAGTGCTGAGGGTCTCACCATAGTTCACATCAGCAGGGGAAATGGCTGCCATGAGAAACAAGTTCAACAGAATCACATCAAATACTCGACTCCATTATAAAACGTTTGTGTAATTTAACGTTTGCCCCGCTTCTCACTGGCGATCATGATGGTCTTGGAGTTGCCACCCAGGCTGTCTTTCAGCAGCCATGTTAGCACCGAGTCTCTGTAGGGAACAAACACCGACTTCTTCTTCAGGTTGGTGTTGACTCTGTCCTGCGTCATGTCGGCTGGACAGAAACAGGAAACACAGTTAAACAGAATCCACAACGAGACGATCTGCTACAGAACTCTGAGCACATTAAGTGACTTATGTTCTGACTGAAAACATGACCAAGAAGATGATTCTGAATGCACAGTAATTCATCAGCTAAACAGTGCTGAAGTGAAAATAAAAACATTGCATGATTCATCGTGACTTTACAGAACCTAGAACCTAAGGAACAATATTCAAAGGACAGGTTTACTGTGGTTTTTAACCAGGCTTCATTTGGTGTAACGTCATCATCAAATGCACCGCGGTTACAGCTGTGGCAGTCTGCCGGGCTTCGAGCTCTCCCATCTGGATGAGAAAGACTCTCAAAGTAATAGGCAAGGACATCACAAGATTTTTTTAATAGCTACCACAATATAAAGGGAAACATTAACAATAAATGTGTTTAAGTGGCTAATGTTGTGGGGGAGCTCGAGCACAGTGCACATCCCAGAATCACTGGACACAACATTGTAATGCTGGTCATGGCCTGCTGTGGTCGCCATGTCTGACAGGCTTAACACCACTCACAGCTTCTCTCAGGGATGGAGGACAGTTCACAGCATCACAGAGCCTGAGATCAGGACCATATGGGTGTCGTGCTGTCCCAGTGAGGGAGGCCGAGGCCCCACAGGGAACCCCGAGTATCAGTTTACACAGTGCAAAGTCTTCACACACATGAAGAAGCATGCACGCATGTGTTTCTGACCTAAAGAGGAGATGACGTTGCCCAGAGTGACCAGTGACTTGTTGATGTTTCCTCCTTCTTTCAGTCGGACGCCGGTAGCTCCAGTGGTGTCAGCTCGCTCGCTGCCGGCCAGATCGACCAGATGGATCTTACTGACAGTTTCAATGGGCATCTCCGCATCGAACTTAGCCTGAGAGAGAGAGAGAGAGACATAATGCATATTATTTATCTTCTACCCTAAAGGAGACAGAGGATGTGGAGAAAGAATGTGGTGAACAGTTCAACTCCAGGTGTGAAAGCTTGTAGAGACTTGGCCAAGAAGACTGCAGCTGGAACCGCTGCTACAAAGTCCTGAATTGTACATGACAGACTGAAGTTGTTCTACCTAAAGTGGAGGGTTTAGTGAGACTCAGAACAAACTGACACTATAAACCACTCTCTGCCCCATCACATCCCATTTGGTAAATAATGACTTTTGTTTATTCAGCATTTAATCTGCAGAGTATTTATATTTTCTGCCTGTTTTCTCGTCACTGTGTCGGTGGAAACATGTTCTCAGATGAAACTTCGACACTACAGTAATCAGGTCGATGTCACGCTCCATCCAGACTCAAACGTCACAGGAGACGTTCGTCACATTGTGAAATCAGTGAATCGTCACAAACCTGTGTGAAGTTGATGGTGAAGATGGCGTGCGAGCGGCTGCTGACGTCATTCATGCAGGTGCTGGCAGTGGTGCGGTTGATGTTTCCGGCCTCCATCAGCTCCTCAACATCGCTGTAGTTCTGGACCAGGTGTTTGGACAGATCTGGGGGGTGGGGGTCAAGAAGTCAACATATGACTTAAACAGGCTTTAAGATTATTACACCAGCTGCAAATAAAACACCTGATCAGACATTTTCACTGCACCGTCCCAGACAAACACAGTAAAGCAAAGCAGGAATTAAGACATTAAATACAGACTGTTACTACTAAACTACAACTAAACCAGGCCTTTTGTAAAGTAACATCATCAGAGACCCCCATCACTGCTGTACGTCTGCCACCACGAGGAAAAATGACTGTTTAAATGAGGGAAGCAGCTCAGGGTGGGGGTGCTGGCCCAATTCATGCTTGGACTGAACACGTTCCAGAAAATAACCGCTGAACTAATCAAACTTAATGAAACTTGAGATCCAAGGCTCCAAGACACACTTAAATAAAACATCTTGAATTCTATAACCCCAAGTCACTACTGACAAAGCAAAGCAGGAATTTCAGTTGTTTGTGTTGTAATTCACATTTCACTGCGTTGACAGTTGCTATGGGAGGCTGAGCTGAATGCACTCCAGCACCTCGCTGTGAATCCATGGTCAGACACCAATCCATGCACAATAATTACACACAGGTGCACAAACTAACATGAATGCAGCTCAGGAGCCACTACACTGTGCCCTGCACACCACCGCCCGCCCAGCTCGCTCACCTTCTACGTACGGTCCATCTTTGGGGTGCTCTCGGACCCTCAGGTTGTAGGTCTGAGTGGACTTCCTCCTTAGCAGGTCCCTCACCCTCTCGTTGTAGATCTCCAGGTAGCTGCACACACCAGACATACGTTAGGTTTGCCAGGTCTCCTCGCTGCCTGTAGCCACAACTGTTGGAAAAACATTTTCTCCCTGGCGTTCAGTTGAAGCTATCGCATAGTTTGTCAGAGGTTCTCATGTGCAACTAAGAGAACACCTGAGGACACAGATGGAATTTGACTTTATTAAGATGGTTCCTACATCTTGCAGCACTGTGCTTTTGTTTATGGCCAGTGGAATCTGATCGCTGAGCTCTCGTACAGACCCAGTGTCAGAGTTTTATTTTCTGCTTTCACTCAACAACTGGTCTGAGACAGCCCTTAGCACATAAACCCTCCAGGTGACAGGTGGCAGGTAGAGCAGAGAGGGTGAAGGTGTAGTGGTCGAAGTGAGACTGAAGTTGAACTAAAACTGCAATCCTTCAACTGTCTGACGCGGCCTTTGTTGGTATCTGACTCACCTGACTTCTGTACGAAACGAAGCTTCATCCCATCGAGTCGCCTCGGAGACACGGCTGAATAGACCTTCACAGATCCTCGGGATCAAACCTGCCTCTCCCTGCAACAACAACACAAACAGACTTTAGTACATAGTAGGGCTGCCACACTAAAAACACTGTCACCACAGTAACACATCAGTCAAGGTAAGTAGGGCATTTTCTACTGAATTTCATGTTTCATGTTTCTCCAAACTACATTTCCCATCAGCCCCGGTGCTGGTCAATCTCAGCCCCAGTGATTCTCCATGTTTTTGATATTTTCCACAGACTCATCTGTTTTCAACAAACTGCTCCACAAGCCGAGTACGACTGTCACACTTTGTACAGGGTGTGAAGATCCGATGCCTGTTCCCTTGATACAACGCTGCCGAGGAAGAAACACGCCACTCAGTGCAGCACCGTGGCTCACTGGGGCGTGTTTAATAGTTGGTGGAGAACAAAGAAGTGTTTTATAGGTAGAAGCACATTTTCTTGGGTTTCTCCAGATCTTATACTGTAGGTTATGTGGTTTGTGTTGATGTCATCTCTGCTGTGTAAAGACCTGTATCGGTACTGTTTACACACCAGCCTCAGGAACCGGTCAGTCTACAGGTCAGCTGACAGATCAGCTGTTAACCAGCTCACAGCAGAGTTCAGATAAGATCAACTGTATGAATAAAAGCTCCTGTCTCCCCCCGCTGAGTTGGTGTTGTCCGCCTCTCCAGAGTCAACACACAACACCAGGTTAGGTTCAGACAGATTGTGACCTTTGACACTTGTCAGCTGTTCACTGGGACTGAACCTCCCACTGGTGATGCTGAGGTCACGTGCTCTGATATGGTGGGGCTTTACAGGCCGACTAGTGCTTTTATACTCAAACTGTTTAGAGAAGGCTTTAAAACGGCATCTACAAGTTTAACTTGGAAAATAAAATGTGCCTGGTGATATTTAACAGTTTTCATCAACAACAGGCCACAGAACAGCCAAATGCACAGTGAGCATCTCCTGCAAACACACCTGACCTCTCTCCTCCCGCTTAGCCATAGAGCGCCGCTGTGTCCAGAAACCAGTAAAACCATCAATGACCCCGTTGCCGCACTGGTGACGGTGAACACACACACATGGTAGACCTGCCGCCACTAATACACACTAGAGATCGAATGTGGATTCATCCGCCACTGAAAATAGTCCCCAGCACCAGTTTGATAAACACTCCAACAAGCAGCTGTTTGAGGAAACTACTGAGGCTTTAACATGACACTTTCCATCTGTGAGGTGTTTTTAAAGATGTGTCTTCAGTAGGAGACACTGGGCTTGGAGCCACAGGCAGGAAGTGTTGAGAGACGGACCGACGCTGCCGGGTTCGGCTCCTATTAAATGGGGTTTGTTGATGATCATTACTCTTAACTTTTGACTGAGTTAAATAATAAAACCATTTTTAAAAAGTGCTGAGTCTTTGTTTTTGGCGTCTGCTCAGAATCTCAGAGGACGTGTGGACTGTGGGACTTGTTATCTCAACGCTCTGCTGTTGACCATCATTTTCTTATCACACGAGATGGTGACACTCAGCCGGACCCTTCAGTCAGGATGTCACTGCTGCAGCGGAGCAGATGGGTCAGGAACTGACTCAGTGTGACGTCTCTCTACATGAAAATATCTGGGAAATGAAACACATCTCACAGGAGTGCCCATCATGGTGTAGGACTTCCCCGAGCCGGTCTGACCGTAGGCGAAGACGCAGGCGTTGTAGCCCTCAAACGCTGCTCTCAGCACATCAGAGCCCAGATCTTTGAAGACCTGCAAAAAAAGGGGAGATGTTTAAAGGGACTTCATTTCTGCCCACGTGAGGCTCCAGCAACAACACAGGGTCAGCAACGAGCTGCTCTGACAGTCTAACGAATGTGACCACTAATCATCCAAAGACAGAACAGCAAGACGGGGTTTACACAGCAGGGCAGAACGACAAGCCACGTTAGCCATGTTTGGCCGTTTTCACTCCGTTCATATTCAAGTCACATGTTGTTAGGCTACACAGAAAACTGTCACTAGCGTCTTGTACGTTCAACAAACGTCCACAGAGCTGCGTTATACACCAGCTGTGTCCAGTGGCAGGGGAGAACAGACCTGCACTGCTGAGCCACTTACACATTCAGGCGTGACAAACACTTGTGTCTAATAGTTTAACAAATACGTAGGAGTAGAAACTTCTGGGCTCAGTGAGAAGGATGTTTACCTTCTCCTGAGAGACGAACGTGGAGCTCCTGCAGTCTGTAGAGTCATAGGAGAAGTCGTATGTGAAGGTTTTGCTTCGATCCCTCATCGAATCTCCAGCGATGCCATCAGGGAGCTTACAGAACAAAAGGTAATGACAAGTTCACCTACGAGGATGGCGGCTTCGTTTTTACGGTTTGTGTGAATGGAGAAAAAAAAAAAACGTGTACCTTCAGGTTGGTGATGGAGGTTTTGGTTCCTTCCATCTTGATGATGCATTTTGAGGTCAAGTCCTTTTCCCTGTAAGAGATCAATAACGTTGACTGATGAACACAAACCCAGGACACACTAAGTCTGTGATCACAGTCCCTTCAGCAAGACTTTCACAGAACTTCAGCCACAGTGTGGCAGCAACGTCCATGTTTAGCTTCAATCAAAAGACTTTGTTTACAGCGGTTTCTTTAAAAACATCGGGCTGAGACGGTTTCTCTGTAGTCCACTTTGACCTTCATCCAGCAGCCAGAGAACTACTGATCTTTTCTAATCTTCCCTGGCACCGTCGGCATTTCTCCTTCTGAAGGATCGTTATTTGCTGACACACCTGGCTGCAACCAATAAAACCACATGACTGAAGCCAATGTCTCTCAACAGGACGTGTGTCCTGGCTGTGACTCATCTACTGTCGCCACCTAAGTTTGTGCTCAGCTTCAACTATCCTGTGGTGTTTTGGTCAAAGGTGGAACTGAGGACGCTGGACGCCACTGTGGGAACAGAGACACTGAGCTATTTAAAAAGTAGACTGAAGCTAAATGACAATGAGCAGTGTTTTAAGACAACAGAATTCATTGTTGGTCAAATTATTAGCAGATGAACTCTTCAAGCTAAAATACAAAACACTGGTTGGTTGTGTTATTATTTGGGACAAACTGTGAACTACAGCTTCTTTGCAAGCAAAACAAACACACCTGTAACACCGAGTATAAATATGCTCATGTATTGATTACCTGGTTTTGATCAAACAGTTCCTGACCAGGATGAATAAAGCTGGTTTGATTTAGTTCACACTTCGTTTTTAATTATGACAAAGTTCTTGACACGCTGCTTGATGTGAGCACTGAAGTGTCGCTTTGAGGGGCTGAACACAGACAATGTCTGACTTATCAAAAGGTTACAAACCAATTGAAGAACTGATTCCTGCGGTCGGGGACAAGATAAATGAAACGAACCCACAGGAACAATAAAGCTCACAGACAGCTGCTCCCACGGGCTGTACGCGCTTTACCCTGCACCTGTTCGGCCTCTCAGGTACAAACAGGTGGAAATATGTTCCCACAAGAGTTAAATCACTGAAAACATAGCTGCCAGGAAAACCGCTAAACCACCTGCACCCACACACAGACACCTGACTGAACCTGAGCTCCAGGGCCAGTTTTATGTTACACGCACTGAATCACTTCACTTCACTATCATCAAAACTTTCAAGGGGTTTGAAGTCTGAAGAAACATTTACCTGTGTGAGCCAATTAGCATCACAAAACAATATTATGACAAGATAACAGCCAGAAACACACTACAACCGTGTTATTGTCCTTAACTCACCGCCTGTTCATAGGCCTGACCCGGACCGCCACCCGAACTGATGCCATTGCGCATCCCGCTGTTGTGCGTCCTGGCCGTTAGTGAGCGGCGCTGCAGTACAGCTGCCAGTTAGCCGAGCGGCTAACTAGCTAGCATGAGAAAGTGAGCAAGCTCTAAACACAGAGGGCAAAAGTCGCTAAGATAATCGGCTGAGTGTGCACAAAATGTACAAACTACACAGACCGTGGAGGGAGAGAGTCGCCACCGTTATCGTCGACCAGTGACAATAAGTCGGGGCTCGGATGTCAACCGACTCCCAGCCCCAGTCACCGTTAAGTAATCGTTAGCCTATTAGCTTCACGTGACAAGGAGCTGACAAAAACACATCTGTACGGAAGCCAGAAGGAGACAAACGTCTGCGCCGACCAGGTGGTTTCACTGAGAACCTCTGTTGTTTAGAGTCTTATACCCCATTGGACAGATCTGAGTAAGGAAGGAGTCCGTCTTTCTTGATTTTAGTGCTGGTTTATTTTAAAAATATATGAATAAAGATTCCAGAACACAATCCGTGTTGTTCCTTCCTTCAGACAAGCTGCTGGAGAAGAGAGCAGAAAAAGAGATCCCGGAAACCCAGAGCCTAATACATTTATCAGTTTTGGACTAACTCCTTACACAGATGAAGTCCGTCCAACAGACTCCATCTCTTATCTAGAGCTCCACAGGCTTGGAGCAGCCGTGTATTACCTAGTCATAACAAAATGAAGAATCCATGTGTGTGTTGTTGTTACATGGTGTGTAACTAAAACAATCATTCGGACATAAATCTAACACAAGATTAATACAAGAAAACAATTGGTGTCATGGCTTACTGCTAACCTTGAGACAGAGCAGACTAGAGCAGACTTTGAATCTTACTAAACTACATTAATAACACATTGAAGTCTAATAATTATCTGACTGATTTATTAATTTCTAACAGGAGAAAAGTAAACAAGTACAAAACACCATAAACACCTATAAAGGTATGTACCAAAATATATTTAGAAATTATAGGTTAAATATATTTTACAGTTTTGGTAATCTTCTTCTTCTTCTTCTTCTTCTTCTTCTTCTTCTTCTTCTTCTTCTTCTTCTTCTTCTTCTTCTTCTTCTTCTTCTT